CCCACCCGCCGGGAGCGGCCGAGGTGTCGGGCTCCCGCAGGAGCTCTCCCCTCGCCAGGCCGCGAACCCTGGAGGGAGGATGCTGCCTTTGCAAAGGCTGTTTTCTCTTTCCGAGCGCCTGCACGTTTCCCTGTCCCGGCACGGGATCTGCACATCTCCAGAGCTTACGCAATGGAAATTTTGAAGAACAAGTTACAAAACACCCCTCAGGAGCGACACAGGCACAGCAATCCCATCCCAGGGCAGGATGCCCACGCCAGGGCATCCCAGGACTGGCTGAGCTCTAGCAGTCCCTTTCTGAGAGTCACCTGCACCAAGGGGTTGCACTAACCATTTCCCACCATACCGGTTCCGGGCCAGAGAGCTCCCAAGCTGTGAAACCTCCAGGATGGCACACAGCACACGGGGGCAGCTCCCATCTGCCTGCAGGGGAGGGTTTCCCTGGCCCACAGAGCGGGCTTCTGCACATGGGAATTTACGCGGCATCAGCGTGGCCTGCGTGCAAGTGCCCGTCCCACGGCTCACGCCACCGTCCGCCCATAGCCAGTTCCCTTCCAGGAGTCACCGGAGTCACGGAGCAGGCACGGGCTGTTGCGGCTGATCAGCTGAAGATGGGAGGAGGAGGGCACAGACCCAGGTTTATGTGGATGGGGCAGAGGAATATGGTTATGGTCAAAGGGACGTGTGCCGGAAGGGTGAAGAGGGGAAGCAACTCATGTTTCTCTGTGTGTGTGCGAGTGAGCACTGCCCACAGCCGTCACCACTCCAGCAAAAGCCATAGCCACCGCTGCCGTGGCACCAGAACAAGCTGAGTTTGCCCATCCTCCTAATGGGACTGTTTGCTTCAGCTTTCCTGTCTTAGAAAGATAATTTAAAAGGAAAAAACCAAACTATTTTATGTTAACAAAACCTGAATATTCTTACTAGAAAATTGGAATATTAGAAAATGCTGTAAGTGCAGAAGTTAAAGGGATGTTTAATGGGTCACCAGGAAAGACTCTTATGAATTGCAGGTTGCCAAACTTGTAAAATACCTACTTTTCAAATCAACACATTTTAAAATGCTTTAAAAACCAGATTTGTCTGCTGAAATGATTATAAAATGCCCAGTGACTGTGAAATTGGGAACACAACTTCTATTTAGAAAGTCTGAAGATTTCTCAGGCCAGAAACTGCATCCTCATCATGTCTGTCTTCAATAGGCAAATTTCTGACACATTAGTAGCATTCCTTTCTTTTAGCTGGGAAAAATTCCCTGACAATGAGTTCCACAAGTTATTTCCCACTATATATATATAAAAAAAAATCGTATTTGTTTGTTTTATATGTAATAATTCTGCTGGATGCTCCCTATTTCTTGTGTCATGAAAACAAAGAAATAATCATTCCCAAATTGTCTTCTCTGTGTGCCACTGAGTTTACAGCATTTACCATCTCCTCAGTCATTTTTTCCAAGCTGAAGAAAAACCCCCTGATCTCTATGACTGAAAGCTGTGACTTCGATCACTTCTATCATCTTATTCTACACATATATATTCTTAAAACTGATTAGTATGTCGTCACGTAGTTTGCTTATAGCATAAGAATGCTCTCAATGGGTTTCTCCAATTCTTCTTTAACATTTCCTAATATTGGATTCACTTTTTACTTCCCTAAATATATTCAGAGAACAACCCATAATAAATTCAAAACATTTTCCCTGAATGGCAACTGCTAATTGAAAACCTATAGTTGTATACGAAAAGTCACATGTGTTTCCCCCGTGCATGTAACTTTGCATGAATCACTTCTAATTCATTAGAGGATGTAGCACAGAAAGAAGTGTGGAACTAGCAAAAATATGTAATTTTTAGAGAATTTAGGATGCTTATTATAAACAATCAAACATATAACCATAGAAATCTTTCGTCTCACCCATATACCAGCAAATAGCTAACAAATCAGGATCTAATTGTTTGATTGCGCCATTTCCTGCAGTTATTAAAGCAATTTTCATGCGTGATTCTAGCAAAACAGTTAGAAATTTAAAAAGAAAAAAATGGAGATAAACAGGCAATCTTTGGAAGTATCTCCTGCATAGGCAGTATCTCCCTTACCTTGTGTGAGGTGATTTCTACAGCCTTTTTTTTAATTTCTGAGGAAACAACTGAGCACTGGAGCTCCTTACACAGAAACCCCTGACAGGCAGAGCAGGTTGCAGCTCTTTTCCCTGCAGCCGTGGTCCCTGGGAACTAGAGAGCAGGAGGCTGCCTCGGAGCTCACGCCAAGGCCCGGCGCAGCCCAAGGTCTGGCATATCCCAGAAGACCGCAGGACATCAGAGGATCTACCCGTCTTTGGGACTGAGCGCTTGCAATGTCTGAAATGCTGCAGCCCTCCCGCAGGAGCTGTGTTTTAAACACTCGGAGCGTGAAAAAACAACTGTTTCGTCTGCAAGCTCTGAAAGGACAGATGCCTAAACTGTCGAGGGACACTTAGGCAGACAAAAAGGGACTCTGGGTGACCAGAAACAGAAGGTGATTCCTTGAATAAAGGAAAAATTGTTTGTTTATTTTTACTGGGACAACAGGATGGTTCTTCATTCAGAAACACCTGCTGCAAAGTTGTACGAGCTAGCGGAGCCAAAGGGGCAGTCCCAGCCACATGGCAATAACCCTCCCTTGCTCTGGCTCTGGTATCCTCATGCCCCATGATGACCCTCATGATCCCCCTCACTAAATTCGCAGAAAAACAGTTGTCTTTTTTTTTTTCCTGAATTAGTTTTCTGCTGGCTTAGCAGAGGATCAGAAATGCGCCAGAGCCAACACAAGGGAAGCAGCAGAAGGACACAGCACAGAGCAAAAAGAAGGCATTGGGGACCAACCCTGTTGGCGGCAGAGAACCAAGCGATGAGCTTCACCACCTTCAGAACACAGTTTTGTAGGATTTAATCCGACTGAGGCTGAGGCTGCTGCAGTCCCACCTTTCACTGCAGGCTTTCCTTTCCCAGCACTGTCCTCTACACCTCCATGGTCACACACCATTAATCGGTTCAGGCAGCTGAACGAGCTGAAGTGCAATCACCTCTCCACCATCAGGTTTTGGCCGGCTGAGTTCCCTGAACTGACTCACCGTGTAAACTCAGGCTCCAGGCATAGGAGAGGGCAGGAACATGCCAGAAGGGACAGAAGAGTAGGAGCAGCAGCCCTGGCTGAGATCAGCCCCAGCCCCTGTGCAACCACACACACATATAAAGGAATCCTCAGGTCATTTGGCATTTATTATCTTCCTTTCCACTCGATGCCTAAGACCATCGCACATACCCTAAAAGCACAGCATCCTAGAAGCTGCCTGTGCAATACAGACTGAGCAAGAGTGAAATGATGTTCCCACCGCTGCACAAATCTCAAGGTTCAGATGCAGTGCCAGGTACCTGAAGGCATCTAAAGGAATGGATCCCAAACTGAAAGGACGCCCAGAAAAACTACACCAGGATTACACAACATAATGTGAAGTTTCCCACACTATATGGCAAAATCTCCTGACTAATATGGAAGGCATAAGAAACATATCTTTTTCCAGTTTTTTGTGGTAATTGGCCATTTTTCCAGATGCCCAGTATCCTCTCCAAAAAAGGAGATAAAATAGAAGGAAGTAACTTACCAGCAATTAAGAGAGTATTTTTGAAATGTGTTGTCCATATGCACTTCAGCTCAGAAACTTTTTTGACGCATACCTTCAGCACGCATGTGTGCTCCCCTTCCCCTCTCCCTCCCATGACCCACACAGGGCCATGCTGGCTGTGCGCGGTAAACGTCCTTTGGTCTCTTCTCAGCCATGCGGTCCCAAGAGGCTACACAGAGCCTGAGGGACAGGATGGAGAAGCCGTGTGCTTGGGCCGACACATCTTGAAGAACTCCACCTATGAGTAACCTCTTTTTCCCATGAGTTTTCCTTCACAGCACATGTGCACAGGGGGAAACTCTAAGCAGTGTTTATGCCACCACAGGTTGTCCAAAGCTGGCCTGTGTGCCTTCGAGGTGAGAGGCAGCCAAGGAGGTTCCACATTAGCCCACCAAATTCATGCTGTAGCACCAGCAGGGAGCTTCCAAAACGGGTTTAGGTTCAGGCACTGAGATGACACCTGCAGCACCCCTTGCTGAACCAACAGAAAAGACCCCAGGTCTCCACACCACACCTCACACTCCAACACCAAGCTTCAGGGAGGGCAGCATGCGAGACAGGTTTTAGCAAACCCAACTTCAGAAGAGGTTTTGTACCAGCAACTATAGCCTGAGCAAACAGGTAGCCCTGTGCGCTTGCTCCGAAAAGGAGCATCTCAAGCCTGTTTTCCTGGAGACCAATGTTTCTTAGTGTCCCATTCCTCAGAGCCAGCTGGTCCCTGGCAACGTGTGAGGCAGTTGAAAGGACAGGCGAAACGGATTGCTTGGTAGACAATCCAATAGCAAAAGGAGAAGCAGGTCTATTACATAGACTGAGCATGAGACCTCACATCTTGGTACCTGCCCAGGGATCAGACCTGTGCTTATGGCAGGAGAGAAACACATCTCCAGATAACAAAGCACAACTCTCAGCGCAGCTGGTGAAGAAAAATGAACTCAGCAGGGCATATAGAGAAACACCATTTAAGGGAGAGAAAAGTCTCGCAGGCTAAAAATGTTACACCTCTTGATCATCAAATGTCAAAAAGTCTCTGGCACAGCCCCACCTCCTGGTACCACAGAGCTTGACATACATTAAACTGGTTTTCTGTTTCTAACAGACCTCAGGCAGGCCAGTGCCATATCCAAATAGGGTGGACTCCAGGACTGATCATGCAAAGCAGGGGCTGCACAGAATGGCAGTCACCTAGTGTACATTATACATGGGGGGTTAACATAACAGATTAGTTAGGTGACCTTCTAAAAGTTCAGGGGGTACATATAGCCATGCTGCCATCAACAGGGACTGCACGCCCTACGGCTCACCTAAACCATTCATCGTAGGCAATCGCTTTTACAAGTTGCTCTGTCAGGTACAGACAAATCTGCTACCAGGTGATGAAATTTCTGTGCCAGCTTTAGACACAGTGCTGAAACAAGTTGCCACACACCCCCTCTTCATGGGCATCACAGGCTGCCACCACAGATCACTCACCACTTTGTTACCTTTACTGCCCAAACATGACTGGTCTGGACTGGGGTGAGGCTGTTCGGAGTTACAAAGGAAAGACGCCGTACACACCCGGTATTACACAATACTTCCAGGTCTGTGCTTCCAGGAAGAACTTGTACAAGAAAAGAATGACCCTGAAGCCTAAAGGAAACCCCTTATTTCAGGAAAATGAAGCACATTTTAGGTACAAGTTGAAAGCAACTACTATGACCCTCGGAGAGCACCCACGCTCTCCGTGGAGGAAAGGGAAGGAAAAAGACAGGCTGGTGAACCCAAAGGCAGATCTAGGTAAAGGCAATTTTCAGGAGGAGGAGGTATGCATGGCTGTAACAGTTTGAAAGGGAAATAAATATACTTTTAAA